AAGGAAAGTCATGGCCCTGTCTATTGAGGATATATTGCAACTAGTGAGAATTATAGTGCCAATTAGTCTTTTTTTTTAAAATAAAAAAATAAAAAAATACAATATCTTCCTTGGCCTCCTACTCCTAATTATAATTTTCTATTGGAGAAAAACCTAATTATAGTTTCCTATTGGAGAAAAAAAAAAACTTTGAGTTTTGAATACCTAATTATAATTTTCTATTGGAGAAAAAAATAACTCTTAGTTTTGATTTATTTAAAGTGTGTTTGTCATGAACTACCTAAGAGCTTATTTAGTTAGTTTATAATATTTATTAAATAACTTTGATTTGGTAGTATTTATTTTTTAATAAATGGGAGCTTATCTCATAAGCTTCTCAAGTATCTTTTAAAAAAAGACTTAAAATTTTTATTTCAACCGACTTTATAGCAACAAATTTTCTCATATATTTTTGTTATATCAGCTAGATTTTGAACCATAAGATATCAAACATAAGCTTAAAATTTAGTTATCAACTATTAACTAACTTATCAACTATCAGTTAGTTTTTCAGCTAAACTTATTACACATACCCTTTCAACTATCAGTTAGATTTTCAGGTAAACTTATTAAACATACCATTTTCGCAACCACATTGCATCATGAATTACTACATTTGGGTTCAATGTGGTCCAATATCTATCCATACATAATACATTACAAGTAAAAGAAGTAAAAAGAAGTCCACTCGAGTTCACTCCCAAGTATGTGGATAGTATCAAATAATCAAGTTTGGAATGTGATGTTTTTGGGCCCAAACATAAAAATTTATACAACTCAAGTAGTACTTGCTAGTCTACATTTAGCTAATAAAAAATTTGAAAGAAAAAAAAAAAAAAGTAAAATACAACTAAGAAATTTTAACAAATCCACACAAAGACACCAATCTCAAAGCCAAAAAATTTTTTTCAAAGGTGGAAAAATGGAGAAAGTCATGCATGTGAACGAATGGGCTTCCGTTAAATCCCCACACGTGAACTTGTCTTGTTAAGACATAGTCCTATGTAAGATCTTTTTCGCCCCTTACATAATCTTTCTGCATGCATCGAATCCCATTCCCATAACTATCCACAACCGCCTTCTAGTTTCTAAAGTTCTAACACATTCCAATTCAAAAGGAATGATGTTTGGAAATGGAATTTGGATAAAAAAAAAAATAAACATACTGAGTCACAAGTTAACAAAATCTATCCTTGTATCAACTAATTCATCTAATTAATGTATTTGAAAACGCATATGGATGTCAATAATGATGTAATATTTAAGAGTTCAAATAAAAACTAGTCCGGGTGTGAGGATCATATTTGGTGCTATTTTTAATTGTGTATGATGCTATTTTTAATCTCACATGGTGCTATCATTTTTACAAATGTTAAAATAAATTGTGTTGCTATTTTTAATAAAATACATCATGATTAAAAATAACACTAAAATATATTCAATCATAGCACTACATACAATTAAAAATAGTGGTTCTCACGGTTCTCACGCTAGGAATTGGTTCAAATGAGAACTAAGTCCTAGCGTGAGAACCATGAGAACCGTTATTTTTAATTGTATGAAGTGCTATGATTGATTGTGTTTTAGTACTATTTTTAACCAGGATGTATTTTATTAAAAATAGTAACACAACTTGTATTTAGCATTTGTAAAAATGATAGCATTATGTAATATTAAAAATAGCATCACACACAGTTAAAAATAACATCAAATATGGTTCTCACGGTTCTCACACCAGGATTAGTTTTTATTTGAACTAGCCCCTCTCTCTATATATATATATGGATGTCACTAGTGATGTAACATTTAGGAATATATATATATATATATATATATATATATATTCTATTTTTAATATTATATGGTGCTATTATTTTCACAAATGCTAATATAAATTGTGTTGCTATTTTTAATCAAATACATCCTGATTAAAAATAGCACTAAAATACAATCAATCATAGCACTACACATAATAAAAAATAGTGGTTCTCACGGTTCTCACAATAGGTATAATTATTATATATATATATATATATATGCTGGCTAAACAATAAATAAAATCTATTTAATTATACCTATGTGACACTTTTCCGCAAAAAACCGTTACTTATCAATATTATTCATTTTTTTTACACTAATGACATAATCTCTAATGAGATTAGAATAATTTTAATCGGTGAAAATCATAATTATCTTATTTTTAAGGAATGTTGACCAAACATCTTAAAATTCATAAATAATAATAATAATAATAATAATAATAATAATAATAATAATAATACTTTTTAAGATTAATAATAATAATACTAATACATTCTAAGATAATTAATAGGTTAGGATTTCTCAAATTTATGAAAACTACATTATCCATTTTATTTTATGCAATCAATACAATGATGAAGTAGAATACTTTTATAATGTTCATTTTTACTAATGATTTTTTTTTTAATGTGATACTATTATCTAACTTATAATTTTAATATTACATACATACATATAACTTATGATAATTTAAACATCTGTGCATGTGCACAGGATGGATTACCAGTATATTAGTATATTCACATATTCTTAAGTTGGACTAGTTATTAGGCGACTTGACCCGTCATACTATATTAATAAAAATATATATTTATACTATGAAATGTCATACTTTTATTTATACATATATATATAAGTATATGTATATTTTTTTTCTAATAAAATATATTAGTTTGAAAGTATTATATGTTGAGAAGTATGGCTGAGTAATATGTATGTATGCATGTTTTCTTCTCCTAGAATTAAGGTTAGTTGTATATTAGTAATTTTTTTTTTCTTTTTTAAATTAAATGTAAGTAGATGATCTTACTCTTAATAAAGATCCAAAAGAGTTGGCATACATAACCCAAATACTATAGAACTCTTTGTGCTTGCTTTTAATATAGATATATTAAGTTTTGATTTTTTTATTTATAAACTCGAGTTAATTTGAAAAAATATTGTTTTATTAGTTTTTAGTGAGATTTTTTATTTTGTATTAAAATAATATTTATAATAAAATAGTTAAGTTGATTTGGTGTAATAGTAGCAGAGATTGTTTGATTACTTTTTAGTAAATTTTTGAGTTTATATTAAAATAGTATTTAAAATAAAATGATTAAAATTGATGTGATGTAAAAGTATGAGACAAGTGATTGGAAGTTATGTAGTTAAAATTATTTGAGTGGGTGAATAGTGAATTAAAATTTGTGTGATGTGTAAAGATAATTAATTGATTTTATTTATTTACATTAATAATATTGAAAACATGCGATTAAATTAAAGTTGAGTTATATTTTAAATGAGATTGATTTTTTTTTAATGTACTTATAAAATCTTACGCCCTTTGTAATTTAGTTTCAATTTCAAGGTAATCTTTGATTAGACCCCATCAAACGCTAGGGGCATGCTTGTTTATTAAATATGTCATTTACATTCAAACCATAATCAAAATCTAATTCAACTTTAACTCAATTTTACTATCATTAATATTATCAATATAATTAAATAATACAAATCAATCATTCTTACACATCACATCACTTTTAATTTAGTATTCATATACTTACATAATTTTAATAATCATCACTTCACATAATCTTTTTCTACTTTTACATCAAATCAACTTTATTTACCTTATTTTAAATATTATTTTAATACAAACTTAAAATCTCCCTAACAACTTACCATATCACATTTTTACAAAATTAAAATTGATTAATTAAAAAAATCCAAATTAAATTAAATGAATTTATTTGTAAAAACGCTCGCCCTAGGACTCGAAAGTCGAAACAAGTTTTTTAAATTATGTTTTCATTTAATTTTAATGCACTTTGGTGCCTTTTTTATTTTTATTGTTTTTATTTTCATTTAATTTTAATCATTTTTTTCTTTTATATGTTTAATTCAATTTTATCTATATCCCCCTTCTCATTTATTATTAATTCAAATGTTATCTATATCACACTACTCAATATGTATCAATAATCTAAACTTTTTATTCCTTATTCTTTTTCTATAAAATAAACATCAGTTTTATACTTGTTTTGCACCAACAAATTTAGCAATTGCTCATTTTCTTATGTAATCTTAATTTAAGTTATTTTGGTCTTGTAGTGTTCTCTTATTTTCGTGCATTTAAAATTTATTATTATTATTTAAAAATATTAACTTTTTATTTTTATTGAGAATAGAATTTTAAAGTTTATATTGGATGATTGGATAATGGGTCCCATATATATATTTAAATGAATGAATAAGAATGTGCGTGTGTGTTTAAATAGAAAGAGATTTAATAAAAAAATGATGTGGAGATGATGTAGACGAGAGAGAGTGTTATTTTTTTATTGAATAAATGAAAGTTGTGTATTTTGGTTGTGGTTGCCCCAATACAACTCTCCGTTCTTTTTCATCTTTTAGCTGATGAAGGAAGTCAACAATTGAGCTGTATAATAAACGGAAAATTCGACCCATTTTAGCCATTAATTTACACCTATACACACGTAACAAACCCCTATGCAATATGTGTAAAATAAAAGGCTAGGATGTAGGTAAGAATTTACCATAACATATATATGTCATGTAGATCAGAAGACAACAAGCAGTCCAACATGCATATTTAATATATTATCTCACAAAAAGTGAAATCACGACTAGTATATATAAAACAGAAACAGAGATAGTAAAGAAAAGTGAAGGGTTCAAACTTCTGAAATGAATAAAACCCAGAATTTCCAAAAGGGCAACTCTGTAAGATCACAAAACCAAATCTAAAAGTAATCATATTGTGATGAAACTGAAAAATAAAATATAAAATAAGTACATGTGAAAATTGGCCATTGAGAAACATTAGAAAAACTATCTTGGTCTCTTTACTTAAAAAGTTGTTTCAGAAGAGTTCCCGTAATAAAGACAGCAGAAAATGATAATTACATTAGTTCTTAGGCTATTCGGGCTACAGCCTACATATATAAAAGACATGCAAAGGTGAAAAAGTTTAAAACCAAATCATACAATCAAATATCACAACAGTTATCACTAACAAATAGTTTGCTGGGATCTTACGTTCAAGGGCAACTCTTTGTTCGTAGTAAAGGTAGGATCCTCCTCCATATGGGAAAATCCCTGAACAATGCCCAATTATTCCTATGCTCTGAATACTTTTGAACGACAAATTCGTGTTTAGCGAGTTATAACTGTTCGACATGCTCAGTGATTACGTTGGGACATGATTGTGCTTGAAGAAGCTCCAGTCTGTTTGCAGGTGGCACAAACTGCAAAATATAGTCTTCATCTGCAACCGTACAACGATAATCAAGTCGAATTTTCTCAGTATAAACATGTGTTGTGTCGTGCTTTACTGTGTACTTTGTTTTCTATGCAATTCATGTTCTATAATTGGATATAAAATCATCCCCTCAACGTTTTATCTCAATATTGAGAAACAAATCAGGAAAAGATAATAAAGCAAATAAATGAGAGAATATATAAAAGGCACATTGCTTCGTGTCCCACTGTAGTATTTTGCGTGTTACCCGTCTTATTTGATCATAAATATGACGAGGATTCTAAATTTAACTGAATTTTTTATTTCGTATTTCAATGTGGAGTTTCGTGCTGTCCTTAGTCTGTACAATCATGTTTCTAATAATAATTGTGTCGTGATTATCATGTAATGTCGGTCATTACCTCTCCTAATTTAATCCATTTCCCTAATAAGGTCAAAGGAGATAGTGTAAAAAGTACTTACTCTCTTTAACAGTCCCATAAAGCCAACACAAGACCTCATCAGCAAATGCTAAGCACACTCCTCCCTGAGGGAACACAAAAGTCAGCAGGCCTTTAATAAAATCGAGATTCCAGCGATTTTGCATACAGAAATGTTAATAACTACTTCAGTGTCACAAAATGATTCTCTTCATAAATTGAAATAAGGGTACAACAAAAAAAAAAAAAAAAAAAAGTNAAAAAAAAAAAAAAAAAAAAAAAAAAGGTGGAATGAGAAGGAAGAATGATCATGCCACTAAATGCAGTGTACAGATAATGATTTTACCTGCCAGTAATTCTTCATTTTCACTCTGTGTGTTATATCTTTGGTTCTAAGCCTTTCTGTACGCACAAGTCGGCCACCATCATCCCTGAAATAAGAAAGTGCAAATCAAGAGGGTTCACATACCAAAAATGGCAAAAGGTTGGAAAAGTTTTCAGGTTTTTATGTTTCTGAATCCACTCGAGGAATATAAGAAGTAGAACAATAATTATAATCACTATTATGCTATTGGAGAAATATGAAGACAATACCTGTACCCAATCACAATATAAGGTACACCAGCAAGGAATGATTGTATCTGCGCAACAGGTGGCAGCATATTAATATAAAAGTAAGGAAGGCAATTATTTTACAATACAATAATCAACTACAAATATAAAGAAGATAATAACAAGGACGCTTAACCTAAATATGTCGATGAAAGAAATTCAAGACAAATTTAAAATGGAGATTACCCAGAATTTAAGCAATTTCTCCCTCTCATATCGTTCTTCAGTGTGATAATCTAACTGGAATCACAAGTCAAAGAAATCCAAGTTTAACCCAAGTAGGATAACTAGAGCCCAGAACAAAGAGAAAGTCCAAACATGCAAACCTCACGACTCGTCTTTAGTTCCACATAGAATCTCCTACCCTCGTCAGTTGAATCACAGCAGTCCATTTCAGCACCCATGAGAATCCGGTGAGCTCCCAATTTCGTCTTAATCACAGAGCAGTATTCAACATTGGCATCAACATGATGTATTCCTTCCCCATCAGCCCTTCTTGGATCTTCTGTAGCAAGAGTCTCGAAACAGTAACCCCAATAACACCTATGTCGAAAGGGCAGTTTATATAAAGTGAACAATCAATAGATAATATTCAAAAACTAAAAGCATGATTTCATTATGTCAAACTGTTTAAAAACTTCAAAAAAGGGAAAATTCCTAAAACCACTCCACTTCTCAGGGAACTCCAGAATGAATGAACAAATAAAATAAAATAAAAATAAAAATAAAAAGGAAGTGATAAAGAAAGTTAGTGGAAAGGGACTCTTAAGGTTTAAGTGACCAGAAAATAATCTTATACCTTCGACGATCTAGTTCAGTCTGGGGCCTCTCGGGCAATTTATGCACATCTAGATACACTACTCCATTCCTTTTATGCACCCCCATTTCCCAGGGCTCGTTCCTGATATAAGCAGTGGCCAGGATCTGGAGATGGAATAAAACACTCAATAAATGGAAAGAAAATGATTCTACTAAGCAGAGAGGCCAAAAGAATAAAAGAACAAATATAAAATACACAAAGATTTTTTTTGTTTTCTACAAGGTGGGAGAACAGGAAGGGATAAACAAATAAAGGAAAACAGAGAGAACGATTTCCAGTTGTTTTGCAGAGTTTGATTGATCATTTGATGTAGAGTTCGAGAAGATCTCCCAACTAACAAATATCAGCATCAAGTTTACAGGAGATCAAAACGCTTGAGCTAGATGTGTTGTTTGTATGATTACTATATATGCAAGCGCAGTGTACTAAAGATGTTTCATACATTTGAACTATATTAACCTCCTATGGTTTCCACACTCCAACCCTACTATCTTGCCTAGCACCTGATGCTTTTCAAACATTGCCATGAACATGTTATTCCAAAACTATCTTGGTAGTCATTTGGAGATTACAATAATTTTAAATAAGATCAGCCAACATATGATAGAGCTTCTAGCAGAAGAAGCAAGAATTACCTTGTTTAAGTTGTTCCGATATGTCTGCAACAGGAACAAAGAAAAAAAAAAGTTAAATGCCTAGAAACATCCTTTCTGAAACTTTCTAAATAAATAAAAGTTGGACACATTGGTAGTCTTACCACAAAGTGCATGTTTTGAAGAGGAATATTTTTGTTTCTTATTGTAGCAAGGAGGTCACCAAATCCTTGAGAGCCCAGATCTGGTATGAACATGACGAATTGACCACATTTAGTGGATATCAAGCTGCATACTAGATTTGGAAGCACAAAAATCATATCAGGAGATGAAATTGGCATTGATGTGCTTTTTAGCATACCTTTCTTCGCAATGAAAGTATCAAAACCCTCATTCAGGTCGGCACCAATATCTTCAGTTATAAGCCGCTTAAACAGCCTCTAGCAACACAAAAGTATTAGCCAAGACAAGTTGGGTATCAACATGCAGTGGAACTCTGAGGAAAAAGAGAAATGAGGCTCACCAAACTACGATCGTCAAAGTAGACATCTCCACCTTCTACACGACTGAAGCAAGCAAGTTCACACGGCTATTTGGAAATACAAAAGCTTAAATTTATCAATAAAAAGTAACAAAGTTCATTAATCATAAATAATATGCATGTAAACATGCATGCACAACACTTCTCTTCTGGGATCCAAATTTTCTTTTTTATTTTTTTCACTATCTTTTCCCTGTTTAGGGTGGGGTGGAAGTAGAGGCCAGCTGTTAGTAAAGCCAGATATTGACCAAGAGCCTCATGACCATGCAGCTTCTATTTTATGTTTCTATTCAAACCATGAAACAAAATGTGCGTAATTAGAGGACCGTGAATAAAACTGTCACTGATGATCGCCCAACCAATCAGGAGTTCAGGACACCACCTCAAGTGTTGTATACCACTAAAATATGCAATGCCGAAATTCATATATTCTTTCGTAAGTTACCAGTACCACATAATACATGTGAGACGATTCACAGACCAAACCCAGAATCATAAACTGATGTGCTCTCTCAAGACAGCTATAGACTCTTTTCCCCTTTGTTTTTTCCAAGTTTATCAACAGTTCATAATTGCTTTTCACAATTCACTTGCTCTCGCACATGTTCCAACTATAGAATCATAGCTAACAATTAATATATTTTATAACAGCGTCAGTTAGTGTTTTCCACAATGAAGAAGCATCAGAACTCTGCCATCCCAGCAAGCAGATGGTTGGCAGTACCACAATTCATGAGACTTAATCCTCCTGTGACCTCATAATCCTAACATCATAGGATAAACAATACACTGAATACTTTTGCAAGCACCCAACCAACCAACTAGAAATCACTAACAGATATTCATAAGGCAAAGCAAATGTTCCCAGCCTTTATTATTATAAGTTCAGAATTTGTGAATAATTGGTAGCTGGCAGAGATACAAAATGTTATGTACCTCTTGAAAAGCAATGGCTTTTCTCGCTAACGTTTCTTCACTTTTTGAGAATTTCAACTCAGAAACAAAACGCTCATCACGAGGGGCATTGAAAAACTTCTGACCATAACCATAGTTCTGCCTTTGTGGATAAGGTCCAGGGCGAGGAAGGAGACCAGCCCCTCCTCTATCATTTTGCCAACGACCACGCCCAAAACCTCCTCTTGTGTGATTGTTCATATTCCGTACAGGAGGCAAGACTGTGTACGCAATATAAGAACAAATTCGTGTAAAAAAAAGCAATACAGGCCAAATATTTAAACAAGAGGTCAAGCTTTATCAACTCTTAGTGAGATGTTATTTCCTAGGAGGCTTCAGATACAACAGTGCTCATTTATCATCCTTATACTGCAAAATTTCTTGCCTTTGTCAAAATATCCATGTATGAGCTAAACATTGAGCCAGAAAGCAACTAATAAAAAATATGTGGCTGCTAATCTGCTAAGTGACCATACAAATAGAAACAATTGTAAGCATCCCAAACGCAATGCCCCAAACAGAAGCATTTGGGGGCTGAAAAGAACACTGGCAAATATACAAAAACCCTAAATAGTGTATCAAAGCCATTGAACCCATATACATCAAATCAAGGTTTTAAGGTAGCACACCAACCCAAAAAAAAAAGATTAAAATCAATTAAGAAATATGTATTGATTGATACCTGGTACAGGATGGGGACTATTGGCCGGAGTTTTGACGTAATCCTCATTATCGGAGCCAAACAGATCTTTGTCATCCTCCACCTCCTCCTGGTTCTCATAATAGTGACTGTTACTGTCATCATTGTAGTCATAAGTGTGATTATTGCCGGCAGATGACCTCACTTCACCACGATTGTCGTCATCATCGTCATCTCCTTCGCGGCTGCGGCTGCTGCCGCTGCGATTGGAGGAGGAGGACGCGGAGGATGAATCGGAGGAGGAGGAGGCGGCGGAGGATGAGGACGACGAGGAAGACGAGGAGGTGGAAGAGCTCCGCTGCTGGCGTGGCTCCCCGTCTGGTTCCTCGTCGTTGGAGTTGTTGTTGTTGATGGTTTCATCATCGTCGTCCGAATCTCCGAACAGATTCATGGCTTGCTCTGCAAAGTCCATGGGTTTGAGCGGCCGCCGGTGGCGGTGGTGGTGTGGCTATAAACCCTAAAACTTGGAGCTGAAGAAAGTTTCAACGGCGGCTACTGGTGGGTTGTGCTTTTCTCCGGCTGTGCTCTTTTGCTTTCTTCTAGTGTTTTGGGACGAATTACGTGAGTTTTACCTTATACTAGTATGGTGCACGTGTGATGCACGGGCATTTATTATATGTATATTTTTTAAATATATTTTTATATTTAAATTGTCTCATGCGATTAAAAATTTTATGAAAATAAAATTTATATGTTATTAAACACTTTTTTTTTATGTACGACATTATTGATTTGATTCTTTGGCACGTAAAGTACTACATAGGTGTTCGAATTTATCCAAAATTGCATATTATGTATACTTATATAATAAGAATTAACATTTATCTAAAATAGTAGGTCAAATTATGGTCAATGTCGGATTTGCATTAAATATTTTCCAAAACTGGTAAGTTTTTTCCTTTTCACACTTCTCATTAATTATGTCCTTTTCACACTTCTCATTAATTATGTCATTTTTCACACTTCTCATTAATTATATCATTTTCACACTTCTCATTAATTATGTTCTTTTCACACATCTAATTAATTCATTAATTAGGACATAATTATCATAAATCATTCCATCTGAGCTTTTATCGTTAAAATGTATAGCGATCTATTATGACCTTATCCCATTGATATTTCCATTAAGCGTCCTTATCGCGTTCTATTTTTTGGTAACCACTCTATATCAATAACCGAATATTTGGTTAATGATAGCACACGTCTTAATTTCAAGGAGCGGATATTCTTTGACCTTTAATTAATCTGAACTGATTGTCTTGACTTTTCAATTTTTAAAAACTCTTTTTTTAAATATTTCGGCTTAAGATTCGGATTTCATTATACAAGTCATCGGATTGTTTAAATGAAAATGAATGAAAAGAACACCAAAAACAGGTAGCCTTATTCATATAACTAATCCTAGAATATTAGCTTGTTCACCAAAAAGAGACAAATCCTAGAAATCCTAAAATATTAGTTTGTTCACCAATCTTAAAATATTAGTTTGTTCACCAAAAATATTAGTTTGATTTTTAGGATTTGTCTCTTTTGAAAATATTAGTTTGTGATAATGAGAAGTTACCAAATAATCAAACTCATAATGTTGTGTACAAGTAGGTTTTTAATAATATATGATTGTTACCGAACTTTTTATGATTCAACAATGTTCCTATGTATTTTAATGATTCAATTTCGATCCTAATGCACGTGAGGTTATATTATTCTTCCAAATTTTACATCCCGTGCATCGCACGGGTTATGTACTAGTTCATTATTAATTAACAAATTTTAAAAAATTTAAAGGATCTTATTTATTGAACAAAAGTGAAGTAAAAAAAAAAAGTAATTTTTTTTAGGGATTTTCACTCATTATTTATTTTAAATCTAATTCTAAATTTCAATTAAGAAAAGTTGAAAACATCATTAGTTACCCTGAAAATGAAATCGATTTTTCTACCAATAAACTGATTTTTTTTATCAAACTAATTGATCCGAATATTTTTTTAAACCAAATAAAAAATCATTAATTTTTCCTAAAATTGCAACCGAAATTTCCTAACATTGCACCAATTTTTTTACCAAACAAATTGAATTGAAACTAATTCTAATAAAAAATTGACATAATTTGTTAATGTTTATGCAACTGTCTCTTTCTTAAAGATAATGATATGAACTTAACCAAGAAAAAAAATGAACTTATCAAAATCTCGGTAAAACATGGTTAAGAAAAAACATAAGAATTCAACAAAATCGATGCCTTCAAATTTTGAAAAGTCGTACACAATTTTTTCTAAATAATTGGATAAGGTGACTATAAATATCAAAGATAAACCGCTTTTGTTACCAAAAAACGTGGACACAATTTTGAATGTACATCCCGTCCAAATATCAGTTTTATTTTAAAATAAAAATTGCAAGTGGTTTTATCCAATTTACACACTTTTCTTAAATAATTGGATAAGGTGACTATAAATATCAAAGATAAGCCGCTTTTGTTACCAAAAAATGTGGACACAATTTTGAATGTACATTCTGTCCAAATATCAGTTTTATTTTAAAATAAAAATTGCACGTGGTTTTATCCAATTTACACACTTTTTTTGAAAGAAAAAAATATTCAGTAATATTGGAAGAATTTGTTAAGAATTATATAACTATTTATTTCTTAAATTTGTACCAAATTTGCAAGGTTTTTAAATTAATTTGTATTTAGAATTGTTTTCATAAATAATTGACACATTTTTTGCATAAGAATTTTCAAATTGTTACAAAAAAAGATATGATTTAAATTTTGGTAAAAAAATAAAATATGAACGAAAAAAATGGAATTCAAATTTTGCCATAAGAATCTCCAAATCTGTTGCCAAAAAAATAGGATTCAGATTTTGTTACTATAGATTCATATCTGTTTTTTCAAACTTTCCATTAATAGTAAGTCAAACATTATATTTATTTGGTCAAACTTTCTATTAATGTATTTTTTCAACAACCTCTTTATATATATATATATATATATATATATATATTTTCCAATTTGAATCCTACGTTACTTCTGATTCTCTTTGAAACTTTGATAGTTTCTTACAAATATATATATATATATATATTCAATTACTTAAATTTTATAGTATAAATAATTTTAAATATATATAAGGATTTTTTTAGGTACAATTAACTTTATAATTAACACACATCTTAACAGTCTAAAAAACAGCTAGTAACAGTCGAATCAAATAGTTGCACAGTTGAATCTAGTGAGCAGACTACACGAAGGTAGCCTAGATTCAACACCAGTAAAATAAACACGACCTACAATACTACAATACTCCCACAAGTAGATAATACGAACTTCTACAAGGGTGAATAAAACAACAAAACAAACACACATACATACACCCTAAAAACTATAAATAAAATAAGGTAAAATAATGTCATCCCCACCAGTCGGCGAGCTGCTCCAAGACTGCCACCATACGAGTCAACACCCGACGATGATCAGCCAAAAAAGACAAGACTACTGCCCAAGACACAGCTCTAGAAACTCCAACCTCCAAAGTACATGGCGATGGCTAATTAGATCCGCTATCACAAGAACCAGATCCCCTTCCCAAGGATCACCACCGGAACAAGACCCGGAGGCTAGCACCTATCATTTCCACCAACACAACCCCAACTGCAATCACCCAAAGACGACAATGCCCCCGCCAAAGGAAACTCGTCTTCCCAACCCCAGAGAAAGGACAAGATTCAGGGGAACGAAAAGGCGTCGGCCCTAACTCTAGCCATCACTAGAGAGGCGATCGGTGCCAACACCCATGTCTTCACTGCCGAGTCGTGGGAAAGCCCCGCCTCATCCAAGTCGAAGGGAGAAACGCTAAGCTGGTAAAAAGGGTGGCCGACAAAGCGGAAAGAACAAAGGTCGCCCCGCTGCCGGTCATCTCTGCAGTGGAGCGGAGCACTCGACGAAGAGGATACAAGGATGAATGAGGGTTTCGTTTCTTATATTTGGGGATTTTTTTCAAGGAGAGGGAGAAACTAGTCTATAAATAGGTTGTTCACTAAGAATGGTTCCCACTTAGTTTGGATATTATCTCTCATCTCACCAACCCACCCACTCTTTCTCTACCTGTGGGCCCCACCCACCTACCTCTAAAGTTGTTAAACGAAACGAGCAGCTCGTGAGCTCAGCTTGACTCGTTTGACATGCGAGCCGAGCTCAAGCTCACTTAAAGCTCGTTCTTTAACGAGTCGAGCTCGGCTCGACTCGATAAGGCTTGTAAAGAGAATTATTTATATAATTTTCTATGATTCGGTTCAGAGCAGTGTTGGTCTGGCAATTAGTACCTGTTTCTTGGAACTTGAGGGGGAAAGAACTAATTCATTTCAGAGACTGATGACTTAACATGTGGGAAGGTAAGAAGTTGGATCATTTTCAGGATAGAGTTAAGCTATCAATTTATTTACTATGGTGGCTTTGGAAAACAAGAAATCTATGAGTTTTTGAAGGTAAATGGATATCAGAAATAGACCTGGTGGGCAAAGTTTGGAAGGATTTTGGCTTGGCTTCTCCTATTCCAGACTCAGATGTTGTTCTCTCTTGATCAGGATGAGTAAGATTAGGGGATTCGAGTTCTCAATGATCTTGTTGTTCTTGTAACCTTTTTGCTGTTTGGGTTAAAGATCTCTAAGGGATTGCTTATTCCAGTGTAGCTTCTTTTTCCTTCTTTTTTACTTGGCTTTTTGCTTTGGTTTCTGTTTTGTAGTGTCTTTTTTTCCTCTTTTGGTTATGTTTTTCCTGATTTAGAGTTCTGATTGTATAGTTTTGGCCTTTTGTTTGTTCTCTGGCCTTTTTTCCTTTATCCATGTGTAACAGCTTTTGCATTGTCTCCCCTTGGTCATATTGTAAACCCAGTGTGGAATTGAACTATGTAGCTCTGTTTATCAATATACTTGATTACCGTTTGAAAAAAAATAATAATAACTGCCATCCCTTTCTTCATGCTTCAATCGTGCAAAAAGAATACTTTATACTTAAAAAAATAACGATTTAAATCATTTGATTTCAGAGAAAGCCACTCCATGCTCAAAAATCAGCTCACACCATCTATGGAGATAAACGAGTCACGCTCGAGCCCTTAACTAGCTGAGTTTTAACTCAGCTCATTAATTAAATGAGCTAGTAATTGAGTTCGAGCTCAACTCATTTATCAATATTATCGAGTCGAGCTTGAGACTCAAAGAACCGAACTATATAAAATTATATATAATAATTTATTTTCGATCTAAGTTGAGCCGAGTTGAGTTGAGCTGAACTGACTCGTTAACTAAATGAACTTTCAATGAGCTCGAGTTCGACTCGTTTGTCTAACGAGTGGAGTCGAGTCAAATTGAACTTACGAGCAGCTCGTTTAACAACTTTAACCATATCAGAATGAAGCAATTCCAACAAATGTTATTACTAGAAAAATTATTCATAAAATTGTTTAGGGTATGATTGGATACAAAAACCCCCAATAAAAAATCAATTACTTTTCACTGCTCATTTTTCTTAAACTCAAATCTAACTTAATTATACTATTCACAATATTATTAATATAATTATCTAATACAAATCAATTATCTCGACACACCACAACAACTTTAATCCACTATTCACACACTCACATTAACTAACCATCAATTATAATCACATCACTCTTACTTTCAAATCAAATTAACTTTCTTTATTTTATTTTATGTTATTTTAATACAAACTAAAAATTCGCTTAGCAAACTTTTTTTTAAAATTAATTTAACCAATCAATAGATGGATGCTTTTGGAAAGGTGAGGGACATCCGGGACTTTGTCCACAGCGTTTTGCACTTTGCAGAAGGGGCTAGAAATATTGGCAGTATTGAGACGGCTCGAGTCCAGCGGCTTGTCCGCTGGGAACCGCCGCCAGATGCATGGATAAAGGTGAATTCCGATGGTGCCCATAATAGTTCCTCAAGTATGGCCTTTGCGGGTGGGCTGCTTCGGGATTCCCATGGAGCATGGCTCGGTGGCTTCATGATGCATATTGGGGAGTGTTTTATAATGGGGACAGAGCTATGGGGATTATTCCATGGCCTTAACTTGGCATGGAACTTGGGATATTGTCGGGTAGAGGCGGAAGTCGACAACTCTAGCGTTGTGGGATTTGCTAAGAATACTGAGGATATAGCAGGGGTCCATTATGATTTGGTCCTAGGGAAACGAGAGCTCTTTAGTCGAGAGTGGCAGGTGAGGATTTCTCACATCTTACAGGAGGCTAACTTTGTTGCGGACTACTTAGCAGCCTTGGCGAGTTCGACATCCCTTGGGTGCCATCAGCTTTCTACTCCACCTTCTGGTGTAGTTCCGTGGATCGAGCACGACTTGAGAGGTGTCTCCTATCCACAGAACGTCTGTCTCTCATAGTTTGGGAATAACCACTTTATTTGTACCAAAAAAAAATTAAAATGTCTAATCACAAATATATATCCAATTGCACGCTTAATTTTATATTCATAAAACCCCGAGAAGACTCAATCTTGATTCTAATTAACGTTTTTACTAAAAAAAATATTTTGCAAATTTCATATTCATAAAAATTCCTACAAGACTCAATCTTCATTCTTGATGAACATTTCTTAGCACGTAACAAACTTTCCTGATTTGACCCATAACTTTTTCCCTAAAAACACACATCTCATCGCCATTTTAGAACCACCTTAATTTTTTTCCCCTCATTTTTTAACCATTTTACTAACATTAAACAAATCGCACGTCTTGGCATTACCTCGCTCACCATTACGAGGCACAAACAATACAGTACACACCAACCTCGATCGCGAGCAAAAACATTTACATTTATTTAATCAATTTTTCGCAATATTTTAAAATTTGTGAATCGTAGACCCGTAATCTAGGGGTGAGTGGCCTGCACTTGGCCAAGGAAACTAAGGAATAGGACACGAGGTTGGGAGATCTTTGAGGCCGTTGTGTCGGGGGACTTTCGAAAGAGCCCACATGTGGATTCAATTCATGTTCTTGCTTCGTGGGTCTTAATTATTTCGCTCAAATCGCCATCTTTTATGTCCCTTTTCACTGTATTCTATTTTATCTGTTTGACCCATTTTTTCTTTTTCCTCTTGCTTTTGCAGGCTAATCCAAGCTCCTAATGATTATTTTGACTGTACCCATGTATGTATGAATTATTGCATGAACAAAAATTTCAATCTTGGGGCACCCCATTTTCTTGTTTTCGTGTTGTCTGACTTTTGACTTCATTTTTCCAAAATTTTTACCATCTTTTCTTTGAAAATACTGGTAAAAAAGTGCACATTGGCACATGTCTTGAGATGTAAAGTTTCTTTCTCTATTCTGATTGTTAGGTGGTTTCTTTTTTCTTGTGTTTGGCGGTGAAAGGTTATGAACAGCAGCTCAGCTGGAGGCATTTCTTTTTGTTTTTTTGGTCTTCTTTTGTTTATCCCTTTTATTTTGGGCGGCCACGTGCTTTATCAAGAATCTTTTGAACGAGCTACTATGCGTGGACAAAATCAAAATTCAATGTGCCCCTGACAATTAATTATATACTAACAACGTATGTCTACCTACTTTGTTAGATTTCATATGTATTTGAGCCTATTTGACTTGAGGAAAATTTTCCTTAATCCATTTGATGTTCTTGATATTGTCTCTTGTGTGATACTTTTTATCATTTTTGCAGAACAAGAGTTGGTTTTTCTTTTTCCCCTGATCTGAAAGGCAGCTAAGCTTAGTTGTCTTGGTTCGTAACAAGCTCTGCGATTCGACCTTCGAGCGAGTTAAAGGTAACGAATAGGTCCACAGTGGACTCTTTCCTTTGTGATTTTTTCATGTTTGATTTTATGTCTGCATCGAAACAAATGAAACAATGGCTTAGTTATATTACAAAGTTGGCCTTTTAACGGCGGTTTGATGGATGACATATCTATGGAGAATGTTTTGACAAAAATGGATTTCAAATCACTACTAATATCTTACCTTTGGAACTATTTTTTCCTTGGATTCCCAGATGATGTCATTTGAAAATGCTTTTTCTCTCTACCTAGATCTCCTCAAATCCCAATACCCCCCTTTTAAAAAATGGAGTTCTGAATCTTAATCCAATGGATACACAAACTTGGAAGGAGACTATTGGGTATAGA